CCTAAATCTGTATATCTTTAATACGACTAAACACAATCAGTAGAAAACCTACATGGGTGTTGTTGTGGACAAATCTCGTGCTCATCATTCATTTTGAGCGAATTTATTTGATAGTGACAAAATTATATGACATTTTAAAGTAAGTAATTATGCATGTGTGACATAGAAAGTTGGTCCTTTGCATATCATACAAAATGAAATACCTCCAAAACGAAGCAAGAAAACAAAAATCTGTCACAGAAGCGATTACTCTACAGTTTTCAATTATCTTTCAAATTAGACTAAAATATAACATTATACCAGGGATTATTCTAAGGTGCAGTGATAACCAATTTGTGCAGTGTGAAATGTGAATTGTGCAGTGATAAATTAAATTATGTGCAGTGATAAAATGTGATATTGTTCAGTACCAGAAATTGGTGACAAAATGGCCACTTTGCATATAATCAACATCCTGTACAATGGCTTTCAGTTTTTACTGGGAGTATACAGAGTTTAAAGTACTAAACTCAAAATTATTGCAATCTGAGAGCTTGGCTACTGTTTGCCGACCTTTTGATCAATAAAGCATTCATTTACAAATGTTTCGGTGGCATATTTATTCCGATCGGGTGCTCTCTCCTAGCGACCAAGTCGTGTTCAATTATGTTGCATTATAGACCAAATTTTGATCTAGACAAAAATTTCATCACAGCTTGAAAGAGCATTACAAAATTAGTAATATTCCAAAGTTTCGTTGCGAAATGTTGTAAAATGCGGATAATATAGCCTTGCGAAGTTTTCCGTTTTTCAGTCATTTTGTATTACGCACGGGAAACTGACAGCCCAATCGGGTGTTGGGGCATCAATTTCCCGTTTGTAATACAAAATGACTGAAAATTGCAAACTTCGCAAGACTATATTATCCGCATTTTACAATATTTCGCAACGAAAACTTTGGAATATTACTAATTTTGTGATGCTCTTTCAAGCTGTGATGAAATTTTTGTCTAGATCAAAATTTAGTCTATAATGCAAACGGCCATTATGAAATAAATAATTTAAATAGTTGAATAATTATTTTCTTTGGTTTTAAAGTATATGGTGCTTATGTGATATTGATTGAAAAATATCGATAAACATGCATGGTTGAAAAAGTCTTTTCAAAAAATTTTCAATTTCAAACCTATTTTCAATATCTTATATATCCGGTTGGATATCACATCCGCGGTGTATCCTACCGCTTACTGGTCAGATATTAGAAAGTTTAAGATCTACGACGCGGCCGGCTCAACGACGCGAAAGAAACGCGAAAGAAAGAAATTTGTCATGCAAGACAAAAACTCTGAATAATTTGTGGTCCCAGGGGTATTCTCAGCGGCTTTATCATGCTCAGCAGAACGTTAAACTAAGCATTATCACGTCTTTCAAGCAATGCGAAGCTTATTGCGACCCAAAAGGTGATACTTAATGTCGAATTTACAGCAAACATTGCATCGCTTTAGTCAAACTTAGCAGTTTGTAATGTTATTTGAAAATCGTCAAACATTTATTACAGTAATGAAATTGCTTAGCGTTCATTTTTTAGCTGAAATTCAGACCGCGTCGTTGAGCCGGCCGCGTCGTAGATCTTAAACTCTCTATTGTGCTTTCAAATGCATATTGATATACTAACCTAAACCAATCTTTGTGTGGCGTGCCATTTGTGGTCTCTAAAATAAAATAAAAATAGTCCAAGTATAACTGTGATTATACAATACATTTTACTTTAATGATATATTTTCTAATAATATACGTGAAAAAATTTCTCAATATAATCTTACTATATACTATATCTTTGTAATTTTATTATTGTACACGCCCCTTGTGGAAATCAGCCTAGGTTGACAATGGTTAGCGTGTTTAAATAAAAGTTTCTATCTATCTATCTATCTATCTATCTATCTATCTGTTGTGAACAGTGACGTAATGTATATTTATTTATGTAATATATTCAGATTAGCATTCTTAATTATGCTAAGACGCGGGAAATAAAACATGTGTTATAAGGTTTGTAATAGCGACTTGAAACTATATCGGACACGCTAGATATATCGGACGAATTATTTGTTGTTAAAGAGGATTGTTCAAAGACTCGCCAAGAAGTAAGTTACTGAGAAAGAACACGTATGTACCATTTATACTTTACTTACATTAGTTTTATATTTTTATACTTTTAGATCGAATAAAATTATTGACATATTTAATACGTTCAATTGACTACGATTCGCGGGTCTTTGTCGGTAATATATTGAGTTCTGTCGAACCCAACGGACCATAAATTCGATTTCAGTGTTTATATCTGGAGTCCCAAAGGTTCACAGCAAAGGCTGATAAAGTTTCACTGTAAAATGGATACGAAAAAGGCCAGAAGAAACGCGAAAAGTTCGCTAACACGTCGCAGTAATAATTTATACAGCATGATTGAAAACAACCGGCCTGTTGAAGAGATAACAGAAGCGCTAGAACTAGTAGAAATAGACTATAAAACTGTCGTAGAAAAGCATGAGGCTTTAGTAGAAAAGGTCGATGACGAAGAATTTGATAAGGAAGAAAAATGGATCGAAGATTGCCGCGAGAAAACATTAATTTTGAAATTCAGAGCGAAAGATTATATTTTGAAATCAAAACAGGAACAGGTCACCCAAGACACGTGCGCAGAAAATGATATAGCTAAGAAAACAGAGGAAACCCAAGAAAATAACGGAGAAAATACCAGCACAGCTATTATAGAGAATCAAATACCAGAACAAAACACAGATAGCAATTCTCAAGATGTAGAAATTACCGAAGAAACAGAACAAACAGTTCAGGAATTGACACCCCAACCGGCAGTACAGCAAATGGATAATAAAGCAGAGAGTCCAACCAGTAACAAGGAAGTTAAATCGTGTGCGTTCAAAGTTGAAAAGCCGAAATTACCGAAGTTCAGTGGAGATGTAAGAGACTACGTAATATTTCGGGGTGATTTCAAGCATGTGGTTGAATCACAGTACAGCGACAGAGATGCAATAACAATACTACGGGCAAGTCTTCAAGGAAAACCACTAGAACTGATTAAGGGCATAGGATGTGATTACAAAGCCGCATGGGAGTATCTCGACTCAATTTATGGAGATCCACGATTCATAGCAGACACAATTACACAAGACATATCCAAGTTCAAAGCACTTCAGGATGGCGAAGACG